GAAGACTGGCGATACTTAAAACAAGCAATGATTTGTTCACACCTTGTTGTGATAAATGTTCTGTTCTCATCAGATATGCTGTAATGATAGCTGCACTGCAACAAACACATGCAAACAAACAAGGGTGTAAACCCTTTAAACTTGACAATTCAGAAAACTGGAAAAGCTTTCAGAATGTAAGCTCCGAATACTTTCGACATTATTAGTAGACTCTTGTTATTCTAAAAACTGAAAATTATAAAACTGAGAGAACAATATGTACCTTCTGGAAACACCAGCAAAGCAATGCACCAAAACAGACCCTTCTTTTCTACTCTTATCAATAAAATCCAAACAGACATCCAAATAATCCAATAAATTCTCATTCTCCATATCTCTCAGCGGAACCCCCATCCTCACCAGCTTCAAATCCTTGCCTGCATATTCCAACAAGTACAAAAGCTTATCTGAGAGCAAACAACTTTTCGACCCATCACCAGAATCCTCCACAGAAGCCGACCCACCAACAGACCCGCCAGTATACACCTTCTTGATTTCCTTAGTGGGAATTGTAAGACCCCTCTTCCATTCAGAGAAAAACGAGATTGATGCAGAACTCAGAACCGAGAGAATGTGTGTGATCTCTGTGCTGCCATTTTGGAGAACCTCTGCTGCATCGCCGATGTTGCCGATGAATAGATTCTCACGAACAAGATACGGCATGACCACTGAAGAAGATTTGATTTTTTCCTAAACCCAAGATTATCAAAGCAAGAAATCCTTGTTCTCCCCCTTTATTTAGGTTAGCTAGTGTGTGTGTGAGAGAGAGAGAGGGAAGGGGATGAGTCTTAGGTTTTTATTTTTTATTTTTTTCTGAATAGATCAAAGGTATATTCTGAAAAATGAAAAAATTATCCTGATAGGTGAAGGCCCTTCACTGAAGGGGATGATGGTGGGTATTGGGCTGTTTTCTTTTTAATTTTTTAAAATAATTTTTAATACTTCAAAAGTATTTTTTTTTCCTCAAGATTGAAAAAATTATCCTATAAACGTGAACATGTGCGAATCATGTGACATTCCTTTTAAAGAACCAGAAATTGATTAGCCTCACCTTAAATTAGGGATGGGCACAATTTCGGGTCAAT